CTGCTGCTGCTGCTGCTGTTGCTTCTATGCTTAGCACAGTGATGCCAATTTACAGAATGCTGTTCTTGTAGATGTTGTAATCGTTCTGTCTATCCCTGAAACTTGTATGCCCCTAAGCCGGCATTTACCCAGCACACTAAGCCCGAAAGTCAAATCTTAAAAGCTCTAAACTTACTTTGCCCTGCACCCTAGCACCCCAATCCTTTACCGTAATCTGAAAAGCCCCAACCGACAACATCAAAGTCATAACCGCCCCCCTACCTCCAGCCTCAGTCGAGAACCTGAAGGGTTTAGGGGTTCAGGGTGAGCCCCAATCCCAACCACACCGAGATTGCTGCTAGTGGTAATCATGTTAATGCTCAACGTCGACAATTTCTAGCAATCATGGCAAGACCCATTCTCACCACAGCAGCAATGGTAATTTCAACCCTAAATCCCCACAAGGCCCAAAGCAGACCCTCATACATTACAGTCCTTGTTATAGGGACCGCCAAATGAGGGTAATTCCGGACCCCCCCCCATACACAACCTTGAAGAAGGTAGCCCCCACTGTATGGATGTAGCACGGCATCACACAGCAAATTTGGAAGGAAGCAGACCGCACAGCTGGCGACGACTTCCACAAGGCTCGCAGTTTTGGGATAGGCTTTCCAAAGCGCCAAACCTTCTCGGATATGACCAGTGGCAAGAGAGTATGACAATAAGCCCCGATACCTTCAACCGCGTCACTGCAAGAGAGCAGAACAAAAGTCTTGGGTCACTGTCCTTTGTGGCCGGTGCCTATGTTGCCTCCTTGTTTTTAGGCATTTCCTGCGCTAGATCTTGCTCGATTCCCTAGACGACGACCTTCAACTCTGCCGCGACATCCCTGATCCCTAGACCCCTGCATCCCTAGACCCCAAGCCTTGATCTGTATACCCAAGCTCAAATCCTTACATCACCTTTACACCCAAAAGCCTAAACCCCAAATTCGCCCCAAACCCTAATCCCTCAAATCCGCTAAACCGCCAGTAGCCAACCGTCAGGCCTATGGCTCCTACTGTGGAGCGCATGGCGCGCTGTCAAGCTTAGCCTTTGGACAGATCTTCGGAGGACCCTTTGGCCATGTTAACTGTTAACGGGCCATGCGGGGTTTTCTCGGTTTGGGATGTAGGATTTAGGGTTTAGGGCTGGTAACTTCTCGAAAAGACGGTGCCGCTACAGGCCCCAGATCTGCAAGGAATGCCGAGATGTCCCTTCGGTCTGTATGAGCAAGGGCCTAGCAGCCAACAAGCATGAAGAGGATGTGGCGAAGAACCCCCTATATCCTCCAGGCTAAGGCATTGGAGTTGAGGTTGTATGTCGCACGTTACGCAGAAATCTATCTGTCGTAGGCTGCGTGCAGAATGGTACATGCCGCATGTCAAGTTGCCAGCACCCCGCAGTATTTTCGACGAACCAGCAAACGGAATGGGGCAATCCGTCCTTGACAAGTTTTCCATGAGCGTGTCTCAAAAACATTCACAGGTTTGCATGATCATCATGTATTGGCCGACGAATGAACTTTTGAAGGACTATCAGGCTGCAAAGGTGACTTTTCCTTCACTGATTGAAACTTTGCCCTGAACCCAAACCTCTAGACCTGTGCAGGAGATACCACTGGTCTGAAGCCGGGAACTTAGCTGTAGTCTGGGGGTATTGTGGTGCTGCATTCAGGGTCAAGGGCGCTTTGGGCAGAGAGTTTGGGGTTTGGGGTTGTGCATGTATGGTTAGAGATCAGATTTGGGCGTTTGGGGTTTATGTTTCGGCTTTGGGCTCTAGAATTTCGAGCTTGAGGTCTTGGGATTTCGGGCATGCGGCATTTCGTGTGGCCATTGGCTTGACTTATAAAGAGTCGAGGCAAAAGCGACATCCTTTGAGTGCGGAATTAGAAAGTTGAGGCCCAGTATCAGCACGCAGGGTGTTCGCAAATTGGTGCCGGCTCGATGTGGTACCAATCTGAAGCCATCATTGAGGTTGAGCCCTCTGCCTCCGGCATCGGGACTGCAAGCCCTTGAAGCGCAACAAGCCCTGACAGCACCAGCTCTCTTCAGTAAGGGTTTGAAAGCCTTACTCTAACCTTAAGTTCTTATATCCTTCTACAGCCATCCCAGCAATAGACGCACCTTCCTAGATTCCTTCGAACACATCTCCAAAGATGTTCTCTCACTCCCGTACGAGCTATTCTTCAGGCCGCGAAGCCCAAACACCCAAGAAGCTAAACCACTACCCAAACTCCCAGACCCGTACACTCTAACACCCCTAAGCCCTAAACCCCTCAACGTTACAGTGCTTGATTCTCGGTAGCAGGTCTACTTGTCACTTCGCGCCAGTGATCAAGTTCGGCAACTTGGCTGAAATCTGCTCCGCTGCTTTGTGATGAGGGGGGAGTGAGCGGGTGGACGCAGGATCCAGGTATGTCTTCTGCAGTTGGAAGTTGTACAAGGTTACAGTTTGAGCTCTAGGCTGAGGAGTTCATGGTGGTAGTCTTTAACCTATGAATTCTGTTTTTCACGTTTGGGTCATACGGACCAGTGCGAAACTCTTGAGCCCTAAGCCCTGGATCTGAAATCCTAAGCCCTCAACTCTGCACCCTACACCCGGAACCTTCAACCCCAAGTGTTAAAACCAGAGGCCTAGATACCATAAGTTGAATCCCAAACCTACAAACCCACCGCTCAGGAGAGTTCCTGGATACCACCATCACCTATGATAAGAGGTTCGAGACTTGGGCCGCACTGGCACTGATTTGAGGTCCCTCTTGGGAACTGGAAGGGCAAAACATGTAACAGGATCCGCAAGGTCCAGCTGGAAGATCTTACAGGTACCCTTTTCGAAATGCCCATCTCATGCGATTTAGGGGTCAAGCTGCAACCAGGAGAGTCATATTTGCAACGTAAAGCCGTACATAGGGTCCTTCGGAAAAAAAACTAAGGACAACTGGCCGGACTGGAACACCCTCTTGGCGGACTCCCCCGTGCTCTGCCCTGATGGAGAGGCTCTTACCGGTTTCAAGCTCTTGCCCGCCCGGAACGTTTTCCGGCAGCTTGCCAAAATCTAAAGTTGGGGGTTCGAACTTTCGGGTGTTAATCAACCTCAAGCCTAAAAAACCCACGTCCTCAGTTCTGAGTCCTTGCCTCAAACCTTGTAGCTGAAGCTCTTGAGCGTATGCGCCCAAACCTTAAGCCCCAAAACCAAGTACTCGACCTTATATTTACTAAACTGTAAACCCTAAAGCCCGGATGCGCCCTGAATACCAGGTTCGAATGCAGCCGCATCGGTGGCCTGGGTGCGAGCTACGAATACTTCAGCGCCCAGGCAGGCTCCTCTCAAAGAATACCATGTTGTGGGTCTAGGGTGAGCGGTTCAGGATTCAGGGTGTAGGGTGTGGGATTTAAAGCTTTGATTATTGGAGTTGGGATTTGGGGTGTAGTGCTTCCGCCCCAATCAGGCAAGAGTGTCGGGCACCACTTTCGCAAATCCCCATGCCATGCAAGAATAGTGACCGTGCTGACACGACAAGTCATAGTAGCGAGAGGATCAGCGATGATGCGAACATGGAGGATGCCTATTCAGGTGACACTAAACCTAACGCTGAGATCTTTTCAGCTTTTGCTGCTTTAATGTCTACCTAAGAAGAATCCAGATGCCTGAGCCCAACATCCTGAACGTGAAGCCCCGGCAGCAGACTGCACGCCCTGAAGCGCAAGCCTGAAATCGTAGATCGCATGTAGTAGTAAATCAAACTCTGAATCCTGAAGCCAAAATCCTACATCTTAATCTCTAAGGACTCTAAGACATACATTGAGCCCCAATCCCAGCGACCCAAAGAAGATCCAAGCTAGAACTTGATACGGCCCCTTCTAACATGTTCATGACAATTCAAGCCCCTAGCCTCGAATCTGAAGCCCCAAGCCCCAACCCATGTATGGAAGGTTTCGCAGCTATGGACTTCGTCAGTCCACATGGACCCTCATGTATTGGGTATCCCCAAAGAAATCATAATTTTGACCACCTACTCATGGAGACCCCCAGGCCCAAACCCGAAGCCTCTAATTACTTAACCGATCCAGGTGGAAGTGAAGCGATTCGACGCGATCAAGGCAAACTGGATTGGAGCACTGTGCCTGGCACCCACAATCATATCTAGGTGAGCTTGGGGTTTGGAGTGTACCTAGGTGCAGTGCTAAGGGTTGAGGGTTTGGGTCTCAGGGTTCAGGACTTCAATTCCGCCAAAGCATCAGGCATACTTTGAACGATGGTACAGACAGACCGCAGCAGAAATTGGGGACCAATACCTGAATGAAAGGTTTTTCTGGACGGCAGAAAGGCCAAAAGTTGCCCACCCCTTAAAGATATTTGGGGGGCGGGGGTTTATTTCTTGAGAAGTTCAAGGGTTACAAGCCGACGGATGGTGTAGGGCCAGAGCGGTAGACGGGATCCACAGAGAAGAGATGATGCGTCGGGGGTTGGGGTTTGCTATGATGTGCAGTGACGTGCAGTGTCAACATACATGGTAGGGGATCCAACTACTTTGGGGGACCTCGTTGAAAAACGGTGCCACAATTGTGACTATGCCACAGTAGCTGCAATAAGCAGGCCCAAGAGTAAGAAGTGACCCCAGGATCCCCAGGATGGCCTTGTCATTGCTACTGCTCCTGGAGGATTTCTAAGATTTCCTAGGCCCACTAACTTTCAGCAGCTTCAAGGAGCCCATCTTTGAAAATAACAGCAGGACTCTGGGTTAACTTGTGTTTTCATATATAACTAGTTTTGCTACGATTGTCGTCCTGACCTCTTCTTGTTCGTCGCCATTTGAGCGAAGGTCTTTGGAAAGGCAAGGCTTTGTATTTAAACATAAAGTCATGAAACCATCATCATCGTGTCATCGTTGTTTGCATACACACTATTCCCACCAACAGGAAGGATTTTTTGATTTGGTGAAGTCCCCAGTCCATCAGGAGAGAATAGTATACTTGGACATGACTTTACTGCTGCTCACTAGAAGCTCTGCTCCAAGGCGCATGATCAAGGTGGACTGTGGCGCAGATGCGCTGCTCAGTGGCTTCTTGTCTGATCCTTCAAGATTTGAGAAAATCTATGGCGTGCCACAAGAGTCTCCATAGAACCTCCTCTAGACTCTCAGTACAATCCAAAAACAATTTTGCAAAATCCCAAGAGAATTCCCACACCCAACCCTAGCACCTCAATCCAGACCCCAACCCAAATCACTGAGCCCTGAATTCACGTAGCTTAGGCTTCCACTTCGAGTTCTCCGAGGGCGGACGATGGGCTCGCTCAAAGCAGCTCTGCTTTCGATAATAGCGGCAACAATGAGGAGGTGGTTTCTCATGATTATGCACCCCTTTCTGGGGAGCATGTCAGGCAGTATCGGGGTTGCATATTGGCCGTACGATTTACATACAAGAGGGCTCGATTTTTCCAAGATACCCCAAGTACAAGCCGTCAACATCACAAGAACAGTGACTAACTGTTGAAGGTTTTGGCCTTGAGATGTGGGTTCTAGCTGTGTTGAGGGTACAAGGGGTACTGGTCAAGAATTTATCGCGGGTTGGTTTCAAGACTCTCTTGTTGCCCAAGGCTTTCCTCAACCTCCAAAGCAATTGCGGTAGATGCAAATATCTGGGGTGCCAGAGGTGAGAGAGACCACAGCTTAGCGGCTCCGCGTGATGGGCGGATTGCCCGTTTTGTTCTGCAGCAGCTGTACAAGATGATAAAGTAGGTGCAGCTTTAGAAGTGTGAGTGATGTTAAAGGCCCAGAAACCACCAAAATCCGAAGACCTAAACGCGTAGCACAACCACTTTAAATCCCCGAACCCAACACTTTTGCATTGCAGCTGTCCAAACTTGACCCACTCGTTTGAAGACTTCCCCAAAATGGGGCCGGATGGAGCCGGAAGTCTCAAAATTCTAAGCCTTCTGAGCCTTTCAGGTTCACTTGCTCCAAAGCTGGCGGAGCTCCAGTTGTGATGGAGCCTTCCACGACCATCGAGAGCTTGACTCGAGAACCGGAAGGCAGAGTTTGTTGTGAGGTGGGAGAAAAGAAGATGCAAAAGAAGGAGGAGAAAAAGGCTTCGTGGTAGTAGGATAAGAAGGAGGAGTTGAAGAAGGCAAAGGAGTCGGAGTCAGAGCAGCTAAAATGGCAGCATGCAGCAGCTGCAGCGTTGGCTAGAGCAGCATCCTGTGGCTTCTCATTTGGGAAAAGAGTTTTGGGTGAAGTGAGGGGTATCGCTCCTTCCTATTCTGCATGCGAACTGGTCATCAGACTAAACGCTAGAATCCCATTCTATTTTTGTTAGGCTCTTCTGTATTCCAGGCATCACGTTTAGAGAGCAACCCAGAAGCACTGGAGGAGGTGCGTCACAAGCACTACACGTTTCAGGTTTGCACAGAACCTCCTTGCTCCAGCTTTCATAGCGTTTTGCGCAGCATCCTGCCTAGACAGCTGTCCCGAACAAGAAATCCTTGCAGACTGGCAGAGCTAATAAGGTTCATTTTTGCCTTGAAGTTGCCGAAGCACTGAACACTAAAGCCTAAACCATCGACCCAAAAGTATCCGTGGTGCTCCACTGGATCACATGCAATCCTTCTTAGATGGTAATGTATAGGGCGAGGTTCGGGGCCAGGAAGATTTAGCAAGCAGTTTAATGATTTGCATGGTTGGGAGATACCACGCGCCCTCGGCTCCCAGCACAGTCTCAAAAAAGCCATGAACAATGGCCCCTATATGACAGCTCTTTGTGCCTTGCGATTTGAGCTGCAGTAGTCCACACGTGACTCTTCTACCCGTGGTCGACATACAACCTTCCATTCTACAGCTGTCCGTGGGCAGGCATCTATTGTCCTCTGGAGCCAAACACTCACACGGGCCGGTACAAGCTGCTGGGCTCAGCATGAGCAGGTTAATTCGAGGGCTACAGGGAGATAAAGAAGGGTGCAGGCTTCCAGAGAATAAGTAGGGCGTTGATGAGTGGTTTGGTAATGCAATCGGCTATTCTGACGAGCTTGGATACCAACCTGGTGAAGGACAACCGTACGGCAACAGTTTCACGGTTTACGGATGCAATGCTGATTTCTGCAGCAAGCTGTTTGCTTATGTTTCTGCGCTCAGTGTCTCACGTCGAGGTCAGAATTTCATGGATGTTCTGACATCCCTACCTGACTTCTATGTGGACTTGGCCAGTTCTGAGTCCTTGAAGTGCTCAACCTAGATTCCGAAAAGGATGAAGCACTCCTCATAAGATTTAGCACAGGCATTTCTTCTCTAAAATCTTGTTGCCCTGATGCATGATTTGACTCCGTCGTCCTCACTTTTATGGGCCCCCCAAAAAGAGAATTACAGTGTTGATAAGGCTACATGCATCAAGCTTGAACTTTACCCCTGACTACCACGAGCCCAAGCTGCACCTTGATTCCAAGACTTAACCCTGAACCTCAAACCTGGTATCCTCGTAAAGTGGCCTCCTTACAGCCTGTACATGTCCCTTAGAGAGCTGTTCTCGGAACCAACCGAGGTACCTCAATGCGCACACTGGTGACACGCTGGTATTCAAGAATGATGGAAGGCGGTCCGACACAACGGCACTTACAGGGAAGTGTTTGACCTCACAGGAGGGGATGCCTTTCAGAACGTGAGGACAGGAATGGTTGGACATGAAATCCCGTACAGTCTTGCATTGCGCCTCAGGTAGAGGCCTCCTTTAGGCAAGCCGCGCAGATGAGACATGCACCCGTTAGCATGTCAGGGGGTGAGTGGTAGGGAGAGGTCACAGTAGTACTTGCTTTATGATTCCTGCTGCTTTTTCGGAGGAGCCGTTTGCGGCCATGCATCACAGCAATAATCCAAGTTCGTTATTGTAACTCAAAGCCCTCAGCTCTCAATTGCGTGGACGGTGATTGTCATGGACACCCAGAAAATTTGCCTCCCGTTGTGGCATGATCCCCGGCAGAGTCATGCCGGGGGATCTAATATATGTTTGCGTGTAAAGTGCTTTGGAGGGTTTACGCAGGAGGTTCATTGGGGTACATAGGATATTCGAAGCATACTGTAAGTTCTGAGTTGTGTCTGAGGTCTTCAACCTGCGGGTCATATGACTGCAGAGTATGTAAGACCTCGCTTTCAGAATACCGAACTTGCGCACCTGGCGCTGGCTCAGTTGCATCCCTAACCAGTCAGTCATATCTTAAGCCCTGAGCACCATGCCCCAAGCGCTAGACCCCAGACCCTAAATCCTAGTGACGTGGGATCAGTTTTTCTTTGGGTCCAGAATTTCGTACTTCAAGGCTTGGGTCTGGCATGGGCATGTCCGAAAAACTGTGCGTCTTCTTGCTGGTTCATAGCAAGGAAGAATCACAGTACACTGTGATACATACGTGACCCTTCGGACATGTGAGGGCAACGTAGACAATCTCCCCTCTTAACGTGGACCCCTTAAACTTAGACAGGTGGTGTGTTGGAGCTGATTGCTCCACACCAGTGGGCGGTGCTAATCCTGTGGGCGTGAAAATGTCCCTCTTCGAGGCAGGGATTTTTCGGACTGCGATTCAGGGTCTGGCACTTTGTGCTTAGACTTAGTCTGAATTGAACCGCGCCGGTATCACGGCAAGGTGAGTGTTCTCAAACAAGAATGCATTGTTGAGTGCATCTTGCTGTGCGACATGCTGCTGTGGCATGATGGTGGTTGTTCTAATGCATTCATCTTCCCAGGCCCTCACAAGCAGGACCTTGGAAAAGGGTTTGTTTTTTTGGTGGAGGTTGAGGATCAAGATCGGAATTGTGATTGCAGAGCGTAGGAGCGAACTTTTACTCTTGATCAAGAAAGGGCGATGACCCACGTTATGAAGGCATGTCGTCAGCAGCAATGCAGCCTGAACTCATTCATTGGCCAGCGCAAGACTGCTGATTCATGACTGCGGGTACGGTGGCTGCCGATACTTTTTTGAGAGTCCTCGCATAGGGAGTTCCTCCACTCCAGGCATACATGTCAGAAAGTTTAGGCCTCCTTCTTTGAGGCGAGTTCTCCTCCCCTTGGTGCTGATGCTGCTGCTGGTGCTCTTGTTCCTGCCTCAATGAATTCCACCATTCTGTTGGGCAAAAGGCTTACTAAGTACTACGCATTACTCAACCATTCCAGCATCTCGATTGGACGCCATACCCAATGTCAAGCCTTTTTTGTTTGGCAGGTGCTGAACATCACCGATTTCGACGGCAAGTTCGAAGGCCGGCCTTGAGAGACTGAAGCATAGCTTTCAATAGCTGAATGCCTGCATCCGAACATTCCGAATCTCCAGACCATAGCTCTGTCAGCTTCTGACATCACTTGTGTCCTTGCTTAACCCGATTCAATTAAAAAGCTAACAAACCTGGGACAGGCAAGGGCGTCCCTTCCATGGGCGGAGATGGATGCCCGGACTGCAGTAGAACTCGGAGTCCTGAGGTTTGAGGTCTATGATTTTAGGATTTAGGGGGTGCTTATAGGGTGTGAAAGGGTCTATAGACATGCAGGGTTGCATAAGACGCCCCTCCTTAAAAATTTCCGTCAAGCTTCTACATTCTTGAAATGGTGGACAGGAGCCTAGAAGACGATAAGCACAATCAAAGCAACGACCAACCAGCACCCCATACATCCAAAAGAAGGGAAGAAAAACGGTGACCCCAATTCGGCATGATTCAGCAGTATGGGGGTTGTGCACAGTCCCACGTGCTGTAGAAGACTCTTGCGGGAAGGACTGAGGTTGACATGTATATATGGTTCCTTGCATTTGTTCGGGTTTCACATAGGGATCGTTGTTTTAACAACCAAGTGGTTCTATAGATATCACATGTACTTAGAGTTTCCACGAGTAGTGTGGACGCAGTGACAATACACAGGGCATTCCTTTATGGTTTAGGATTACATTTGAAAACGGCGCAGAACCCTAAGCCCTAAAGTCAGCAACCCGAAGCTTTTGCATGGTCCAGAGTTCCTACTGTGTTTTTTCAGTGCAAGGATGGTTACAGAAATTCACTCCCACACTTCCCATTAAGACACGCAAGGAATGAAGGACCTGATGAAGAAGCTCAAGGCTGCTTGGTCTCGACTAGGAAGTTGCTTCTAACGGGCTAAATTATTGGGAGAGCGTTGTTGAAATACCGCACAGCATGGTTCTTGAAGCATTACAACATGATGGCATTTCATGTTGTTCTCTGGTTTAAGTTTTGCACCCTCAATTGTACTCACCCGTGACAGGAGCTGGAAACCCCTAGGCGGGAACCCCATCACGGCCTTATGACCGTCATATATCCCTAAGAGCGTTCCCTAGTCGGAGAAATCCTCAATATCTGCAAGCGGCTGAGTCAAGTTCAGCAGCCGAGGCCATCAAGCCGCCAAAGCGTCCGGCGCAGCCACCCAAGCCTAAGCTTCAGGCCTGGTGGTTTAGGGTTTAAGTGTTTGGAGTTTAGGAGTTTAGGCTTGAGCGTTTGAGGGTTTAAGGGTTTAAGGATTTAGGGTTCAGGGTTGAGGTCGCAGTTTGGGGTCTGGCTCGGGATTACGTCGCACTTTAGGATGTAGGGCTTCTGCCCCAGCTGAGGGTTTAGCGTTTGAGGGATGACATCCTGCCAGCATACCATATTGAATGCGAGTACCCCAACATGGACCCTAGAATATCTTGACGCCTCCCAACAACGAACCCACTTTTTTTTTCGGAAACCTCCATCTAGAGTCATTCAGGATTTTGTCAATGAACCGTACAAGGAGCATCTGCTCTAGGGCCTAATTAGGGTGTGAAGCTGAGTGTTTTGGAGTTTAAGGTTTAAAGAGTTCGTGGTTTAAATCTTGGGTGCTTGCCGCATGCCTACAGGGCAGAGCCGCAATGCCAAGCCCCAAAGTTATCATATGCACACTGATGCCTAGGCTGAAGCTGTTTTTGGTGTAAGGTCTGCAGAATCCTGAGAGGGCACAATGCCAAAAGCTATGCAGCCAGAAAAGTTCTTCATAGGGCCGTGTACTCAAGCCTTTCGCTGACCGGGAATCGTGACCTGCTTCGAGGAGTTCAAGGCGACGATGCCTCAGTATGCCAGCGAGTGCTTGGACTACCAGGACCT